ACTTATACCGAGAATATTAAGATACTTCGATCAGATCGAGTGATGAATATCTCTCGGGAGAATTCAGGGACTACTTGACAAAAAATGGTATTGTTTCTCAACTGAATGTGCCTAGTACACCCCAACACAATAGCATATCAAATAGACGAAAAAGGACATTGTTAGACATGGTTAGGTCAATGATGAGTTTCGCAATTCTACTTGTCTCATTTTGGGGATATGCACTGAAAATAGCAGCACGTGTTCTTAACTTAGTTCCTTCTAAGTTGGTACCCAAGACTCCCTTGGAATTGTGAAGTGAGTGCAAGTCCAACTTATGTCACATTCGAATTTGGGGATGTTCGACTCATGTACTGAAAGGAGAGGCAGAAAACGTTGGAGTCTAGATCAGCGATATGCTTGTTAGTGGGATACTTTAAAAATACTAGGGAATATTATTTTTATAGTCCTTTGGTAGGAAGCTCCTTGTTAGCACAAATGCAACCTCCCTAGAGGATAAGTATATTAATGAACGTTAGTCTAAGAGTAAGGCTGTGTTAGAAGAAATGAGAGAGAGCAATTCCACCCCATCGATTCCTGGAACGTAATCTCGAGATAGACAACCCTTGGTGTAAGAAATACCTAAAAAATGTACTTTGAGTGAAAGAGATGAGTAATCATCTAATTCCACAGATCAAGTACATGTAGAAGGTATAGAAGAGGTAATGGCCATCACCTAATGGTGATACCAACATTGACAAGTTAAAATTCTAAATGATGCCACAGTCCTGGATCCATCATCTGTTAGACAAAGTCAGAGGTTCATCAGACCACCTTCTAAGTACTTATTAGTCGAAGAGTCCAATTAGGTGATCTCCTCAATAAAAGTTGATGATTCGACTTTATGTAAGTAGGCTATGAATAATGTGAATGCAAATTTACGGCAACAAGCTATGAATACTAAAATGGAATCTTTGCATTTCAATCAGGTATGGGAATTTGTAGATGCACTAGAAGGGATCAAACTCATCGGGTGCAATTAAGTCCATAAGAGAAAGATAGGATCGGATGGGAAAGTGGAAACTTTCAATGCAAGGCTAGTGGCTAAGGGTTTTACCCATTACGAGAAGACCTTGCCTGTGGCTATGCTTAAGTCTATTCAGATTCTCTTATCTATTGAGTTCATTTTGATTATGAGGTATGGAAAATAAATTTGAAGATGGTATTTTTGAATGGCCTTCTTGAGGAATGTATCTATCTGATACAACTAGATGGATTCATAGATGAAAGCAAAATCTACAAGCTTCAGCGGTCTATTTATGGGTTAAAGCAGATCTGCCATGGAATACGGATTAGTTCCCTATGGTTCCTGAAGAGATGGAGCTCATAAATAGGATATTTTATGCGACGAAGGTTGATAGTCTCATGTATGTTATATATGTTGTGCATTAGACCTGAAATTTGTTATACTATTGGTATGGTGAGTCGATATCAATCTAATCCTGGACCAAAACATTAGGTGGCTGTAAAGCATATCTTAAAGTACCTTTGGAGACAAAGAATCATATGATGGTATACTCATCACTAGATCTTGTTCTAATGGGTTATGCAGATTCATATTTTTAGGCTAAAAAGGAATCTAGCAAGTCTATATTAGGATCACTGTTTACGCGTGGTGGTGGGGCCATTATTTGGAGAACTATCGAACAATCATGCATTGCTAATTCCACTATGGAGGCTAAGTATATACCAGTTTGTGAAGCTGTTAAAGAAGCGGTGTGGCTCAAAAAATTCCTAACGAACATCGAAGTGGTGCCTGCATCTACATAGGCCTTGACACTGTACTAGTGATAACAGTAGGGACAGTGTCAAATGCTAAAAAACCAAGGAGTCATAGAGGGCTAAACATATTGAATGGAAATATCATCTCTTGAGAGGGATAGTTAGTATTGGAGATGTGATTGCCAGTAAAATTGCTACTGGATAACCTCATTGATCTATTTACCAAGAGTTAATTGGCTAAGGTTTTCTACGGACATGTAAAAGGCATAAGGTTAAAAGACATGACACATATAGTCTAGGGCAAGTGGCAGATTTGTTGTGTTGTGTGCCCATATAGTATAGTTTTGCTGATGTAAAAATGACAATAGTCTTATACCTAGTAAAATTATTTTTACTTTATTTATTGCAATTATTTATTATTTAGCATGCGAATTCAAGTGCATATGATCACTTGTGTTAATATAAGTTGGGTACTTGCATTGAGAAGTACAATGTGACACAATTTATAATTTGATCATAAATAATTTCTTCACAATCTATGCATAAGGGTTGGCACTTTATTCTGGAATGTTGTAATGTTGACTGATTCACTATTCAGGTTTATGATTTATCCTTATCACAGAATTGGTTAAAGTTGATATTAGTACACTTGGAGTATATTGAACAGACTACGTGTTGAGTTTAATTTTATAGCATGACCGTGCGAACAATTAAATTTCACTTGACCATCGTGTATTTTATCTAAATCCCTTAATAAGGTTGTGCATATCTTTTCGTAATTCCAATGCTTCTTTGATTTATCAATTGGTGATATCAATTTGATTGGTCAAATATCTCGATGAGTTGGGAACTTGAGAATCAACGAAGTAGAGAACATGAATTCGTGTCGAGAACCGTCACCCTAGAAAATGGGTAAAGTGATTACTTAAGTATTTTCTGTCATACAGTTAAAATTTGAGCTCAGTATTTAGCAATAGCTAAACGTTGACATCTGTGATTAGTTCACGAGACCGTTGAAGAAAATGATACTTAAGTTAGTGAGAATAATTAGAAGGGCAAAATAGTTATTTATACTCGTACCTAATTATCGGAGCTCGGACGGGGATGAAATCATATACGATAGGTCAGAGAAAAGTATTATAAATATATTGGCTTATATGATATTATATATTCCAAGAGTTCAGTCTTTTGTCCATAGTGGAAAAAGCAAATATTAATAATTAGATTGGGTGGTATACGGTCAACTAGAAATGATCTAATTATTGAAGCTTGGATAATATATGTTTGATCAGGTCCTTTAGTAGCTCTATAAAGTGTTGGAACTTAATTAAGGTAATTATAATTGTTTTGGGCTTAATTGTAATTACAATAAAATTTTGTACTTAGTTGTAATTACTATGAAAGTTGTAAACTTAATTATAATTGTAATTGAAATTTTAGGACTACATATATAATTAAATGTAAACTCATTAGATTTAGATTTTAATTAAAACTCCTTTGATTTTAATTATAACTCTTATTTTAATATGGGTTTATTATTGTACAAGGAGGGTAGCTGTTCTATTTCTATAAATAGAGATAAGATGGAAACTAGACATCCGATTAGATTGTACAATAATCATAATACATTATTCAATAGTATTCAAATTTGGAGAGAGAAAAGTGAGAAATTATTTGTCTTGCTTTTATCAATTGTTCGGATTAAGAATTAGTTTCTTGATTTAATTTTTAAAAAAATCTGCACACCCATTGGTGTAGTCTTGATTTCGGAGTGTACCATAGAAGATTTGAAAGTTTGAAGTATCAAGTTTTTGCAATTAGAAAGCTGGAAGTTTGTGATCCAAAGAACTAGAAGTTCGTGATTCAGAATTCATACAAGAATTGACCATCGAATTTAGGTCAAAATTCGAATAATTTATTCTTGATATAGAATACACATGAATATCGTTTACTGAATTAAAGAAACTTTTTAATTTTTTGGATAATTCCGCTTTTGCATTCCAGTAGTAACATCAATCAAGGCAGCTTTTTACTACCCTCCTTCAATACAATACAACCTACAAATAATTTTATTATCCAACATCATCCATCTAGTTTATAAGATCCCATATTTCCCTAAAAAGAATATTTTCAATAAAAAACCTACTTCAATATTTCCCGAAAGAAAGATAAAATGAAATGGTTTTAAACATATTTTGAATAATTTAATGAAATACATGTCTATGCTCCAAGAAACAAGAAATTGAACTGAAATATCCTTTCCACGTCAAGAATCAAAGAAATTATCTGACAAAGGGAGAAAAGAGCTAGGAGCCATAATTGACAATTCAAGAGATGTATGTACGGGTCTGTATGTATAGGTTTGTGTATGTAGAGAAAAGGTTTCGAGTAATCATTAGAGCAAAGTGGCTGGTTAGAGGGGGAGAAAGGAGGAAAGAATTTTAGATTATCGAGGAACAAAATGGAAAGGGGAAAATACTTGTGTGAGTCTCAATTCGGGAATGAACAGATACAAAGCTTAATGTGTGGGAGTGATTTGGGTATTTGAGATAATTAATTAGGATTTAATGATGATAGAGTAAGGTCAGTAATTAGTTGAATTATTATAAGGAGTTTAGTGATTAGATGATTCTTAGTTATATTATTATATTACAGTATAAGTTGAAAATAGAAGAGTGATTAGTAAACTTTGAATATTTAATTTTAAACAGGTAACTGATGTAATTTCCTCAATTAATTACGTATGTAGTCCCACATGACAAATAAAACCCAATACAAGCACCACATGCTTGCCTTAGCTCACTCAAAATATTTATTATATCATTCGGCATAGAAAACTGGAAATTAATTTTTCATTTAGTATTGAAAATTTTGATGACAGTGAAAAATAACAAACATCAAGTAGCGAGTTCAAGTGTAACAATGATGATGGAAAGTATGACTAGCTCGAATACATTGTACTTTCTTTAAATCTTATGTTTAACTCCCTGTTTCAAGATGGAAAAGTTTAATTATTTTTTCAACTTTAGCTAGAAGGTCAGGTCGAGCCTCCTCCTAATAATTATTTACCATATTTTATCTTCGATATTAATAAATATGCAACATATAGTGGTTGAAAAAAAAGAAGAAAATTTTTTTTAATGAAAATTAGAACCAAGTTCTTTATTAAGGCAAAAACACCATTTATGCAGAAATTCAGAAATTGGGAAACACGTGAATTTCCATTATGCTTCACAAGGTTAAGACATAACTGGAAAACATTTAGGCTCAAACACGACATTGGCATTTAGGTAATCTACATAAGACTTGTAGAGTCCAAAAGATCGTTCTTTGCTTGCTTTAATATCCTCATCTTTTAGTACAACATTACCCTTGACATGATACTCAATGACGATCTTGACAACACATTCTCCATCCTTCGAGTCCTTGAATTTAATCTCGTGTCTGATAGATTCAATTTGGTCCTCCAAGTATGTCTCCCTCAACTAAAATCAATTTGCCCACACAGTTTTTAGGGTCCAGATGGTCGATCCTGTTCTTCATGTACTTGCCTGTAGGAAAACACATATGGTCATCAGATGATGTGTAAAAAATAAATAAATAGATAAAATAAAATAAATCTGATAACGCATTTAATGCACTAGATTACACAACATTGTAGATAAGCGACATAGATGTTATCCAGTAGTTTGCACATATGAGATGAGTAACTCCAGTATACGCACCATTCCTTAGTGTTCCCCACTATATTACATTCAGAAGCAACCACAACAAGATTTATATCTTGCACTTTATCTGAAACGTTGTCATATTCTTTTATATTTGTTGTCCCTACATTCTTTGATTTTCGATAATCGTGGAACTAATGTTCCACCTCGTCGCAATTATAACAATTATCATTGAATTTTTTACGAGTTATTAAAGAACCAATTATCTCTTTGTTGTTGTGTTTCCTGTTTCTGCTAATCGGTTAATAGACGCCTATTACACTATTTGTAATGATTCCATCATTCACGATAAATAATAAATAAAAAGAAAAGTCATGTTTACAAGATGTCCATTACAAGAAAATAGCCGATCACAATCGTTTACAAATGGTCACAGACATCTGTTACACAAAAAGGCGTTGGTTAAACAATCGATTGTTGGAATCTAAAAGATCGTTAAAAATAAATTCGTTAAGAACCCAAGAATTTGAATAATTAAAATTTGGTCCAAAAAATTTAAATAATTTTTTTCCAAAAAGATATATATAAGATAATGACCCAAACATGCACCCGAATCGAACTAGAATTGGACCCATGTCATGTTGTGCTTAGCTGGCTAGGCACACAAGCAATGGCGCGCATGAACTTTGGATTGAACCTATTTATGGAATGACATTCAAGATCTTTGTTCTCAATTGAAATCTGTGCAAACATTCTTAAATCGCATTCCAGAAGAGTTTCTTCTACATACTCAATGTGATAATACTTATTATTATTAATTTTTTCTATTGGGGGTAATAGTTTCTAAATCTACATCTACATGTTTTTTATGTTTAGAACATAATTGGTTGAACTAGATGTAATTGTTTGTTTAAGTCATGATATTTCATATAATTAACATATATTTGTAGTTGATGTTGGGATATTTTAATTAATTCAATGCCACGAAAACTTTAGTTCTTGTTTGTATTATTTACAATTGGCTTTCCTCACTTTTTATAATTTCTGACTAATTTATAATTTTTTGAAATTTTGGGACTATGATTGCAATTAATATTTCATTTTTTCTTTTATTTTATTTTTACTTTATTTGAATAGGAGGGTAAAATCGTCAAAACGGACAAAAAGACATTTTGTGCAATGGAAAGTGGAAGGTAGGGGTGAAAATGTCAAAAAAATGAAAGGTATGAACATTTTCCACAAAAACCTTGATAGGTAGGGATGTTTTGTGCCAATTATCCTAAATATATCATATCAATCATCTCATGAAGTAGAATATGAATGCTTGATCTTGTTAATTTTGGAATTTGAGTTTCACGTAAAATTAAGCTCAAATTTGCTTAACTAAAACCATTTTGCCAACAGATTTCTCGTTGATTACTTATATTTCTTTTGCTAGGGTAATGATAAATGATGATAAGAAGTGATCTAATTATAAACAACCATAAATTTGCAGCCATTGGGTTTCTCTTATTTACGTTTGGCAGGGCCTAAAATGTTTTGTGATTATATAAGTTACTTATACATAATAAGTAACTTACGAAATAAATAATTTTTCGTCTGATGCTGTTGAATATAATTAGGCCTCCGTTTGACAATCAAGTGATAAATGATTTATAAATTAAGTCAAAATCAAAGATTAATTACAATCAAATGTCCATAAACTATTACTCATTTATTATCCACACATTTGGTGAGATCGCAACTATTCCTCTTTATAAATAATGATTTATAATTTTTTCGAATTGAGGCTATGTTACTTATTATGGAGTAAAGTAAAAATTCTTTAAAATAATTTATTTACTTAAAAGTAAGAAAAACATAATTTGTTTTACTAAATATAATAGTTTAAAAATGAAAAAGTTACGTTTATGTAATGTTTTGTTTCCAAACTTTTTTTTTTAATAACTTACTATTAATATATTTCAAAATAAAAAATTCTTCTTCTTCAAAATAACATTATATTTTACCGTCAAGAAAATTAAATTACATATTTTCGAAAATAACCCAATAAAAAGCAAATTAATCTAAACCAATTATTTACATACAAGTAAACTTTTTGATCAGGACAAACATATCTATTATGATTAACCTAACTCGATTATTTATTCTTGTTTTCTTCTCCGTTTCTCCCGGTGAATTTTCAAAGATATTCTTTGATTTTCTATGATTTTAGTTTTTCCTAGTCAATTGTCACATCATGTCATTCTAGATAACTAGGAACTCATGAAAGTAACTTCCATACGATGAATTTGGGTGAAGAAATAGGATATGATGGCGCATAAATAAAATAACTTTCTATGAATTTGTTAAGGCGAGGCAGATTGGGACAAGGGTGGGTTTAGGGATTCGTGTGAAGATTTAGATTCTATGTGTTTCTGGCGATAAACAGGGATAAAACAAGCCCCACGTTCTTGCCTAAGCTAACTTGAAACATTCATTATATGACTCGGAATAGAAAATTATAAACTAAATTCTTGATTAGTGTTGGAAAATTAGATGACAGTTTGAAAAGAACAAACTTCATGTAGCGAGTTCAAATATAATTAGGAGCCTGAGTGACCACTTATTGAAAGATGATGGGGAGTATGACCGAGCGAATATAGTGTGCTTTCTTTAACTCTTACATAGTACATATTGTTTGTAGACACAGAAGTTTAATTTTTCATTTTTATTATAATTTCAGCTGGAGGGTGTGATACTGTGATCGAACCTCCCTCCTAAGTATATACTATGTTTTATCTTTGCTATTAATAAAACATGCAACATATAGTGGTTAAAGGGAGAGAGAGGAAAAACATCAATGGAAAGTAGAACAAAGTTCTTTATTAAGGCAAAAACACCACTTATACTGAAATACAGAAATAGGGAAACATGTGTGTTTCCATTATACATCACAACGTCAAGACATAATTGGAAAACATTTAGGCACAAACATGAGGATTGGCATTTAGGTAATCTGCATAAGCCTTGTAGAGTTCAAAAGATTGTTCCTTGCTTGCCTTAACATCCTCTTCTTTTAGTACAACATCACCCTTGGTATGATACTCAGTGGTGATCTTGACAACACATTCTCCATCCTTTGAGTCCTCAAATTTGACCTCGTAGCTAATAGATTCAATTTTGTCTCCAAGTACGTCACCCTCAAATAAAGTCAACTTAGCCACGCCGTTTGCGGTGTCCAGATGGTCGATCTTGTTCTTCATGTACTTGCCTATGAGAAAACATATATGCTCATTAGATTATGTAAAAAAGAATGACACATTTAGTATGCTAGATTACACAACATTGTACATCAGCAACGACGACGTTATATTGTCTCTCCCTAAGAATTTTTTATATTTTATTGTTATTATTATTTTTAAAATTTTTGTAATAAGATACTCATCACATATTTAAAATGCTATATTGATAATGTTGGACAGGATTAAAGATAGCGTTATCCTCTCTTTTTACGTGATGTTGTTTAGTAGACTAACCATCACTGAAAGTTGTCTTCTTGATGCTTCCAACACCACCATTGCCTTGAATTGTCTCGATTTTCTTGATGTGTGGAGAGGCTTTCGGCAAAATGTCGGCGTTTTCAATCATCACAGCCTTGAACATCCTCTTGTGAGAAGCCTTAGCTTTGATTTCATGGAAAAACTTAGAGATACCCATGTTTTTCGTTAATAGTGTAACCTAGGAAGAAAAATGACGTGAATATAAATTGAGAGCTTGGTAGAAAACTGAATTGTAAGAGGGAATTTATAGGTGCGGTGGTGTGGATAACGTCATTTTCATATTACTATTCTGAAGCTTAATATTCATTATTTTAACACGCCATTATTGACTGTCTATTCCGTTTCCGTAATCTATGCATTCTTTTGCGTTTAATTCAAAGGCCATGAATAAGATAAAGATTAGAATTTCTGACAGATGCGTTTCAGCTTTTTCTAAATCAAACATAGTCCAATTTTTACAGCTTCCAGAATACAGATTGAATATTTACTAGTTGAATGATACCACAAGAAATTCTATATATTGAAGTAAAATAATAACACAGCTTATTTGATCTGAATATATCTGAATACCAAAAACTGGAGTCAGTTTCGAATCTTTTCATTATGAAGTTGCTGAATTTATTTTGGTATTTTTTTTTTTAAAATAAATACACAGCCTGTGTGATTGGATTCCAATTCATAATGGGACTATTGACATTAAGTTGTGGATTTCTCGTCAATTACTTCTCTTTTGCAAAGGTATATGATTTATAAAAGATGATAAGATTTGTTCCAATTGTAAACGACAAAAAATTCGCAGCCATTGTTTCTTGCCGGTTTCTATTATTTATTTTTGGCTGAGCATATAATTTTATGCTTATGTAATTTACTTATACATAATAAGTACCTTATGAAATACGTAATGTTTTATCACCTCCATTTTGCAGTCAATTTATTAATTAAGTCAAAATCAAACATTAATTTCAATCACATATTTATAATTGTTACTCATTTATTATCCTGACATTTAGTGATATTCATTATTATTCCTCTTTATAAATGATTTTTTTTTTCAAAAAAAAAATAGAGGCTAAGTTACTTATTTTGAATAAAGTAAAAAATAAATTTAAATTTTTTTACTTAAAAGTAGGGCAGGGCACGGTCCAGTTCACTGAACAAAAATTTCGGGTATTTAGTAAGTGGAACCATCAGGTCCAAATATGATTATGAAATCGTTCAGGTTCATTTTCGTTCGGTTTGGTTCGATCTGGTTCGGTTCTGTATCGTGATTACATTTTTTAACATTTACAACAACACTACATAAATACAATTAATAACATATTCAATCACAGCTTTTACAAATTAACTAAGTCCAATTAAAAACATATAAATAACAAGTTGTCTAATAAGATTAATTTACCAACATATACAAATACCAAAAAGTAGATACTAATACTAAAATATTGACGATCAATATCAATAATTCATTTGCTTCAGCCTTTAAGTATAAATAAAAAAATTTCTTGAAGTAGAAGTCATAGAGATAAAATATTTTTAAGTATTACTAATACTTACCAACTATTTGATTTAATCATCAATTGCTTGACTTGCCATACGAAGAATCTCTACAGAAAAATTGAAAAAGCACAATTAACAAACGTAAATAAACTAAAAATTGTTCAACTAATATGATTTAATAAGAAATGAAAGAATAAAAAGGGTTTGATGTTGGGCTAAGAAATGGACAAATAAAAAGGGTTTGATGTTGGGCACTTGGGCTAAAAATTAAAAAAATAGAAATGAAATAAATAATTGGGCTCAAAAATTGGATTTAAAAATTGGTTGGGTTGGGTCAAACCAGCTAGGCTAAAGCTTGGGAGATAGAGTATCAATCAATCACCTAATTAGTCAATTTGCTTAGGAAAATTAAAATAATTTGATTTATTCAATAAAAATAAAATAAAATTAGGAAGATTCGGTTCTCATTCGATTCTTCAATTCTTGATCTAGAATCGAGAACCAAATCGTACTCGTCGCTTTTTGATTCAGATACCCATTTGGGTATTTAACTTGAAAAGAATCATCGGGTTTGGTTCAATTCGATTTGGTTCGGGAGTTTTGCCCAACCCTACTTAAAAGTAAGAAATACATAACGTGTTTTACTAAATATAATATTATGATTACCTAAGCTTAAAAAAGTTAAAGTCACTTTTATCTCCAAACTTTTCATTTAACATATTTTTAA